CCTTCCTTTATTAGACCATCCATGATCTTCTCTATCTCTTGTTGTTTTGCTTGAGCTATTCTTCTTGGTGGGATCTTTATTGGACGGTGATTGCCTGTGTTTATTCTGTGCTCTACCAGGTTTGTGCATCCGAGGTCATGATCTCCTTTCGAAACGACGTCAGCATAATTTACCAAAAGTTCTTTTACCTGAAGAGCTTGTGATGATGAAAAATGGACTATGCTCTTCTTATAGAGGTCAGTCAAATATTCCGGAAGTGTATGTCCTTTCTTCACAGTTGTATTCCTTGCTTTAACATTGACTGGCTCTACCTCCTGGCACACACCCAACTATTTCCCTTCCTTAAGTGCCTGCTCACATTTAGAGAAATTGGCCACTGTTATAGGTACCACTTGACGACCCACCACAAGTGACCTTCCAATCTTCAAATCCGCTGGCCTGGATGGGTCTTCCACTGCTTCTACAAGCATTGAGCTTCCATTGGGATGTTCTTTTATCCTTCCCCAAATTATCTTCTCTGACATAGGGGGTATTGTAGTTGATTTAAGTGCTGTGACATGCAAATCAACGGATGTAGCAACACTTACTGGAGTCTGGACTTTGTTGTTTCCAAACGTCATTTTATCGAAGTTATCTACACACTTCCTCCATAATAAATAGTCCAATCCTTATATGCATTGGTCTTCAATGTCAGCCAAGTATACTTTCTGTCTGTTCTTCATACCACAGAGCTTCTGTACAGCTTCTGGTACTCCTTTGTGATCCAACACCTTGATGCTCACAAGACTTATTGATGGTATTCTTCTTGCACTGGCTCTCATATGTCCCTGCTCTCTACAGTTCCAACAACCTTTCTGGGTAGCAGCATTTCCTGCTGTGGCATCTCCCCTGTGTTGAAGTTGCCAGCATTGAGCTCTCTTGTGCCCAGGTTTATTACAGTGCCAGCAAAGTCCCTTAAACCTCTCTGAAAGTTGAACTTTTCTGGCCTTGATGACTGTACCAACCTCGGTACCTCTGTGCTGGACTTAACGTAGGATTGAAATTCGAGAGCTCTGGCCATTGCATCCTGCATGGTAGACGGGTGTGCTTGCTTCACTTTGTATCTTTAGTTGTGGACTGTCCAAGGCATCTACGAACTGATCCCTCAGCAACAACTTGAGGAGATCGGATGGTGCAGTTGGGTAGGCCTTGTGTGCCATGCTTTCCAAGTCCTGTGCCAGCTCTTTCAGGCTCTCCCCTTTAGCACGGACTCTCGTCCTAAACCTAGCCCAGATTGATTTTGGGCTCCGTACCTGAGTCCTAGAGCCGCTACCAGTGCTCTATAGATGTGCCTGTTGTTTGCTGACACCTGTCCAACTATTTCCAGTGGTTGTCCCTTCAAGATCGTTGCCAAATATACTGCTTTCTGCTCCTCTGGCCATCCATTTATCTCTGCCAGTAGCTCAAATTGTGCCCTATATGCTTCCCAAGGTGCCTTCCCATCGAATTCCTGTGGCTTCCTTCATACTGGATCACTCCTATCAGTGACATTCATATCTGGGATGTGACTTCTAACAGGACTGAAGATGTCTTCATTAGGGTTTAACTGCGAGGTCTGGAAGGGGCTTCCCATTGTCTGGGGCTGATTAAGTCGATGGTTAATGTATCCTCTTTGTGTAAAAGACAATAAATCATCCTTTAATGTATCTAATTCGCTTTTAAATTTACTAATGTTTTCCATTTGTACTTCTTGTTTCCCTTCTTGTTCCAGTTGCCACTGATGTTGTCTCTCTTCTTGTTTCTTTTCTTTTCCCTCCAACAACTGCTGTAATTTATCTTCTTGTTTATTTTGCTGTTCCAGCTGCCACTGTTGCAGGTTTTCTTGCAACTGCTTTTTTGTCTCTCTTCTTGTTTCTTTTCTCGTTCTTCTTGTTTCTTTTCTTTTTCCTCCAACCACTGCTGTAATTTCTCTTCTAGTTCCTCTTGTTTCTTTTCTTTTTCCTCCAAGAACTGCTGTAATTTCTCTTCTCGTTCTTCTTGTTTCTTTTGCTGTTCTTGTATTGCTGCCATTAAATCTGCTAAGCTGTAGTTTGATTTGCCGCTTCTCGTTTCCATTTTTTTTGTTCGACTTTCTGACACCAATTTGTTATGTCTCTGGTCGTTAGTTAATTTTTCTTAAAAATTCTTTCCGAAGAAACTTTAGCGGTACAAGTCCTTTCTTAAATAAAACTGGTTTATTCTTTCTGAATACAACTTTGCAATACACTTAATTTCCACAGTCACGCTATAACAAACGCTATAATTCACAACGAACCATTCACGTGCTCGACTCAACCGTCCTCTCTATCTCTGTCTGCAGTTCAATTACACATTGTTGCCATCACTTCTTGGTGGCTTATATATACAAGAATACCGCATATCTAGTAACCTCTCGAGGCTTCAAGAAGGAACGTGAACGTTCGAAAACATGACGTGTTACTACGTCACGTGATCCCCGCTGTCGTAACAATACCATTTACTACAAAATATTAAGTAGGAAATCTCTTTGGTTTACACCTGTTACCACTACTGCTGCACCATTTGTGACTTCAGAACCTTTCTGTAATGCTCCAGTCATGGCACTTCGAAATCCAGTTTTATGATGTGAAAGAACCATGAGAGGCTTACCAGGCTCATTTCAAAATCATTTCCAGGGCGAATGTGTGGAATAGTGAAAAAGCCACCCATCTTGTCACCCTATGACAACATTAAGTAAGATTCCAGTTGAGAGCAGAACAACTATCATGCATTAGTAGCTACCTTATCCAACAGATTTGGAGTAACATATTAGAAGGAAGTATCAAGAGCAAATTTCTGGAACAGGATATGGAGGAAAAAAAATAACTTAGCCGAACTTGCAGAGGATTTGGAATGGCTTGCCCAATCATTTTATTCAGAAGCTCCTAGTGAAATTATGAATTTGTTTGCACGTGTTGAATTTATATATGCCATAACTGATGATGATGTGAGGACCAAGCTGAGGCATATTATGTATACATCTTTAAAAGAAGCACTGCAGTTGGTGGTTGAACGAGAATTCGTCAAAATTACAAAATAAACAACTAAAGATAACATTTCGAAGTTACGTGATCATCAGCCCAAGTAGTATTGAAACATTAAATCTTGCTGACAGTAGTCTAGAAGATTGTTTGTTTATTGAATTTTGTGCAAAGTTAGTCGAGGGCTATCTGCACTAGCCGTCCCAAATTTTGAAGTCATAGACTATAGGGAAAGCAATTAATCAACAACTACTGCCAACTCTTGGGCTACTCTTTACCAATGAATAATGGGACTGACCGTCATGATTACCTTCATTATTGTTAATCAAATTTACACATAATTCAATAGTTTCATCTAATGGGATATTCGTAAATAGAGATTCTTCATCAAAACTATGAGTTGCTGCATCGTTATAAACATTTAGCTCTTTGATGGTAGTGTTACGACAGCGGGGTCACGTGACGCTAGTAAAACGTCATGAATTATAGAAGGATTCTTTCCCTTCCTGAAGTCTCGAGAGGCTACTAGATATGCAGTAATCTTGTATATATAAGCCGCCAAGAACTGACGGCAACAATGTCAATTGAACTGCGGACAGAGAGTGAATTACAGCGTTTGTTATAGCGTGACTGTGGAAATTAAGTGTATTGCAAAGTTGTATTCACAAAGAATAAACAAGTTTTATTTAAGAAAGGACTTGTGTCGCTAAAGTTTCATCGGAAAGAAATTATATGGGAGATTAACTAACGACCAGAGACATAACAAATTAGTGTCAGAGAGTGGGACAGAAAAGAAAAAAAAATGGAAACGAGAAGTGGCAAATCAAACTACAGCT